ACTGTCAACACTCGGCTGCCATATTAATTCCTTCAGCGTTACCTCTTGTTTACCTGTGGCCGGAAGTGACTCGAGACGTGCTGGCCAATTCATTCATGTCTATAAGCTCATTTCCACCAAGTCACACACTCACCATCACACACACTCACCATCACCACGTCACACACTCACCATCACCACGTCACACACTTACCATCACCAAGTCACACACTCACCATCACCAAGTCACACACTCACCATCACCGAGTCACACACTCACCATCACCAAGTCACACACTCACCATCACCAAGTCACACCATCACTATCACCGAGTCACACACTCACCATCACCAAGTCACACCATCACTATCACACACACTCACCATCACCAAGTCACACTCTCATCATCTTCCTCCTCATGTTCACCAAATCACACCCTCATCTTCCTCCCCATGTCCAATAACAACAACAACAACAAACACATCCCTTAACATTCATTCATTCACAGAAAAAACACAAACAAACGACAATATAAATAAAAACAGCCCTCGGTTATCATTCTTGTTATTATTTACACTACTGCCGGTGACAGGGTGATGGAAACCACGTCCCTAGAGGGGTAGAAACCTCGCTCTTACAGCCTGGGAGCGTAAGGGCCGGATTAGCGGGGTGGGGGGGAGGGTGGAGTCGGGCCTTTAGCGAAGTAGAAAGGACACACCAGCGATGAATGAATCAGCGGCATGAATGAGAAGAGACCGTGGATGAATGGAACGGTTCACTCATTCATGATTCATTTCCAAAATCCTTCTGGTGGTGGTGGAAGAGATGGTGGTAGTGGTGGGGGTAGTGGTGGGGGTAGTGATGGTGGTGGAAAGATGTGGTAGGTGGGGGTAGTGGTGGGGGGTAGTGATGGAGGAGGTGGTGGTGGGGGAGTGATGGTGGGAGAGGTGATGGTGGGAGAGGTGGTGGGGGTGTCTGGTTGTGGCTGAGAGAGAGAGAACACATTATGCGTGGTCATGCAGGGAAGGGCCAGCCAGCCACCAGCAGCAGTCCATGATGGTTGGGTCACCACCACCACCTGACTCAGCAAGGAGGAGGAGGAGGAGGAGAGAGAGGTCGAGGGAGGGAGAGAGAGGGGGGTTACTTCCGCCATCTGGGAGAGGTCATACTGTGTGGTCATACTAGGTCACTTGATATAGAGAAATGACCTTGATATAGAGATTACCTTTCCTATATACAGATAATCCCCTCTAGGTACACTAATCCCTTCCTTCATCTTCGATTGATTGATTGAAACAGTTTATTTAGCCAGAAAAACACAGATGCAGAGTTGATAATAATAACATGAGCTCAGCATCCCTCCTTGTAAGTCGCTGTGATGCCTTTGTTGTGCTTCTTGCCCAACAGGATGTAAAAGGGGGTGCACAATAAACTAGCCCCCCCCCTCCTCTTCCTCCTACCCTTCCCCTCCTCCTCAAGTATCTACGTAAGAGTTTAAAATCTGAAAATCTTATCAGCGATCAAATTTATAACCACCACCACCACCACCCCCCTCTTCACCACCACCACCTCCCTCTTCACCACCACCAGGACTTCCTCTATGCGGCCTTTTTTCCTCTCGTGTTTCTTCCTTGACCGCCCAACCGCAGATCCACGTAACGTCTTCATGGTGGAGGGAAGTGGAGAGAGGGAAAATGAGGGGAGGGGAGGGGGTGGGAGGGAAGGAGGGGGTTATACTCACTCCCCCAAGTTTCCTTTTTTCCACTTGGGATCCGTCAGGGAAGGTATTAGTGGTGAGGTCAAGTCGTAAACCCATGAATGAATGAATGAATGAACCACCTCAACCGTTAAGGCTTCATCATCCGGAGACGAACTCGAAACAAGGATGGTTATGTGTGTGTGTGTGTGTGTGTGTGTGTGAAGGTGTTCCTCCCCCCTCAGAGAAACAAAAGACAATCAGCATATCCCTCATTAAAACATCCTGTGCCACCCTGACACTACACAGACAACTACCACTACATCAGGTTGTTTCCGAGTGGCTAAAAGAAACACAATATTTGTCCTTGAAAACAACTAAGTCATCTATTGGTCGCTAACAGCCAATAGTGACACATGTTCAACACAGCGACCATCTCCTATTTTTGTACGGGTACCTGCTGCCCCCTCTCACCTCTCTCCCCCTCCCTTCTCTCACCTCTCTCTCCCTCCCTTCCCTTCCCTTCCTTCTCTCACCTCTCTCTCACCCTCTCTCGCCCTCCCTTCCCTTCCCTTCTCTCACCTCTCTCTCTCTCCCTCTCGTGATAACATTCCTCTACCGTCAACAACACAACATCAGAATCTCTCTCTTACGGTTGAAATTTTTTACTCAGCTGATCCTAAGTTCTTGTGACATCACCAATGAAAACAAACGCTATCCTCCCTTCCCTCCCGTGTGTGTGAGACGGTGAAGGTGTATTGAATATTGATAAAAGAATAGGAGGCCCTCTCATCCACACACACACACACACACCAAGTGACTGACGGACGCTGCTGAGTGACAATTACCGCAGTAACTCGAGTGATTGTGTTACTCACTCATCCAAAGTTCTACTTTTTATCTTAAACTCCTCCTCCTCTTGTTCCTCTTTCCTGCCCTTTACTGGTTCGTCTCCTTCCTCTCTTCCTCCATCTTTTGTTATTCCACTTTCACTACATCCTCCTTCGCAATACCCATGTCTTCCTCCTCCTACCCTCTCTTCTCCTTCCTCCTGCCCAACCCTAAACCTCAGGCTACCTCCTTACAGCTACCCTCCCTCCCTCCCTCCTGCGTCACGCCGACATTTCTTAAGAGGGTCTTGTTAACAGCGGAAACGTCTCGTGTGGCGCCAAACGACATCCTTCTTTCTCTCCTGTAGCCATTGGGATCCTACCCTACCCCCCCAACCTCCTACCTCATCACCCACAACCTTCCCTCAGCCTACCTCCCACAGACCTCACCCACAGCCTACCTCCCACAGCCCTCACCCACAGCCTACCTCCCTCACCCTACCTCCTTCACCCCTCACTTCCCATCTCTTCATCCTCTCTCCCTTTATCCCCTTTCACCTATTCCCTGTTTACCACACTTCCTTGTACCTCATTCTTTCTTCTCACCCTCACCCCCCCCCCTTTACCCCCAAGTGAGAGGTGGGGGGGGGGTCTCACCAGGACCGGAAACATCGTCTTGTACCGACAAACGACGTCTTCACGCTTCTCTTCCCGTCTTGGCTGGGTGGGCGGGCAGGATGCATGGACGGGTGGGTGGCTGGCGACTGGACGGGTGGAAGGACAGGTGGGTGGGTGAGTGAGTGAGTGAGTGGGTGGCGACTGGACGGGTGGATGGACGGGTGAGTGGGTGGCGACTGGACGGGTGGATGGACGGGTATGAGTGGTGATTGAGTTACTAGCATTACTTCCCCCCTCCCCCCATCAGTGCCCCCCATCATCACCTCCCTCCCCCATCATCACCTCCCCCTCCCCCCCTTACCATTCATCTCCTTATCTCAGTAATCAACATCATCGTCTCAAGACAATTAACAAGACAACCGACACCCCCTATTAAGGTAGACACTTCCTGCCACCTTGACTGTGATTATCGCCCTTATGCTCTCTTCTCTTATAGCACTGTCTTCTTCTTGCTTCCCTGTTCCTGTCAGCTGCTCTTCTTATTATTATTTTTTATTCAATTTTCTTTATTCCTGACTTTAATTTTCCTTTTCTAATTTTCTTCGTTTTAATATTTACTCTCTCTCTCTCTCTCTCTCTCTCTCTCTCTCTCTCTCTCTCTCTCTCAGGTTTTTCCAGGATAGTGTCTATATAAACCCTCTAATATACTAGGGTATACTGTAAACCAATATATAAACCCTAAGTATACCATAAGTAAATGTAAACCGATATATTCAGATTCTAAGCATACTAAGGTATACCCATGTAGGCGTATACTTTATCCCCAGCTGAATATACTCGTAGGAGGAGTCTGTGGCCCGAAGAAGTATAACAGCCTTGGTGGAGGCGGCAGGAGCATACTTCCTGTCGGGGTGTCTTGCCTGCTTCATGTACCTCCCCCCCTCTCTCTCTCTCTCTCTCTCTCTCTCTCTTTCTCTTTCTATTCATCTCACTCTCTCAACGGACACATTTCCCTACAACGGACACACTCCCCTACAACGGACTTATTTTATCTTGTACTTACAGCTTCCTCTGATTAAACGTCACAAATTCGCTTTAGTTATCAAATCTCCAATCTGATCTACCCATTGAGTGTGTAGATGTGGAGGAGACAAGGAGGGAGAGGGAGGGAGAGGGAGAGGGAGGGAGAGGTGTGTAGGGAGAGGGTGAGAGACGGTAGGTGTGTGTAAGGAGGTGTTCAGAGAGAGAGAGAGAGAGAGAGAGAGAGAGAGAGAGAGAGAGTGAAATAAAGGAAAGTAACACTCAGGACTCCTCTCTCTCACTCCCCCGCAACAACGGACATTACTCAACTACCCTCGGAAATCCTCACAACTAACACTGCTTTACTCACTCGTGGATCTACCCCCCTCTCTTCTTTATTCCCAGGCTTACACCATCTGACTATATCCTTTCTCCCCCTCTTTTCCTCCCCCCCCTTCATTTCCCCTCCCTCTCTCCCCCTTCTCTGGTCTTTCCTTTCCTATATCAAGACACATGCCTCAATTTCTTCTATGCTGACTTAAAGAAACATTTATTTTCTTTAAGTTTTAAGAGAACCTCAACACCCCGTTTTCTATTACCTCAAAAGGACAGCTGTGTTATCAATTTTACCTTAGAAACCTCAGGTATCATTTATCACAACTAGAGAAACCTTTAAATACAACAACAAACAAAAACAACATTCTTTAAATTCTACAACTATGAATATTAAATAACGAAAAAAAAATTCCCCACAGCCTCAATAAAATACCCTCCCCGCCTCCCCCCACCCTCTCCACCTCCCCCCACCCTCCCGCCTCCCCCCACACCCTCCCCATACACCATAAGAGATACTCACCGATAAACTGGATAGCTTTGGGGAAGAATGAAGCCAGGTTCTGACTCCAATGGTCAGCTATAGGGATCTGCATGTATTTGTAGCTCCCAGACTCCTCGAACACATTTGGCAGGTTTGGGGTGACGTTGATTATGTACTGTGGAGAGAGAGATGGGAATGGTTAGGTTAATGTGGTGGTGGGGAATGGGTGGTAATGGGGTGGTGGTGGTGGGGAATGGGTGGGTGGGGAATGGTGGCAATGGGGTAGTGGTGGTGGGGAATGGGTGGCAATGGGGTGGTGGTGGTGGAATGGGTGGTAATGGGGTGGTGGTGGGGAATGGGTGGCAATGGGGTGGTGGTGGTGAATGGGTGGTAATGGGGTGGTGGTGAATGGGTGGTAATGGGGTGGTGGTGAATGGGTGGTAATGGGGTGGTGGTGAATGGGTGGTAATGGGCAGGAATGGATAGGAACAATATACAATACAAATGACAGTAAATCAATGGGTTTAGTGCCTGTAATGGGGTGCCAACAATGACAAGGCAATTAATTCAGTGCCACACAAAAACTACAATACGAATAATAATAAAAGGACACACACACACACACACACACACACACACACACCTACCTGGTCGTGTGCACACCTGAACGAGTTAATTAATTAGCGTAGGACAAAAGTTTTATTACGGACTAAATTATAAATATATTAAAGACTTTGTGAATGACTCTCACTTATGAATGAAAAGTTAATTACGGAGCTAAAAAAACAATAATAACGACGGGAATTGGGATAATGTGATAAAATTGGGCACGAGAGAGAGAGAGAGAGAGAGAGAGAGAGAGAGAGACAGAGAGAGACAGAGAGAGAGTTGCATGAAGAATGGATGATAACTAACAATACCAAACAAGAAGAGAAAGGAGACAAGAAGAGGAGGAAATGAGGAGGAGGTGGTGAAGAGTGTATCGAGAGGAGGGGGGTGAGGGAGGGAGGGTCAGCAGACAAAGGAGAGAGAGAGAGAGAGATATGAGGGGGAGAGTTGCCATGCCAGAGTACCGCACTACGGATGAGAGAGAGAGACAGAGAGAGTACATACATCTCGCACCTTTAATGCCTGGATCATCGACTGTTACACACAGTGAGGGGTGGAAGAGAGAGACAGAGAGAGAGGGGGGGTGGGAGCGTGAGAGGAGGGGGCGAGGGAGGGGGAGAGGGGGGGGAGATGACTGAAGGTAGAATGAATGGCGGAACGAGCGAGGAATAAATGAACCGACCTAGATGCATGAATGAATTGACTCTGGTGAATGAACGGCGTGAAAGAATGAATGAATTAACCTAACCTAACCTAACCCGCACTCTTGAATGATCCGTCACACACAAAAACCCGAACTGCCTTGAACGTACGGCCAAGCTGGAAACAAGAACAATAACAACAACAACAACCACCACCACAATAACAACCTGGGATTCACAAAGATACGACTAATTGAAGTTTTTTTCTTTTATCTTATCAACTACAACGGTGGTTAGTAACTACGCAGGTGTGTGTTGTGTGAGGTGAGGGAGGGAGAGACGGACACCCAGAGACGAGTTGAATTAATATAACCTTGGTTACCTGCCGCCGCTTACCTGACGGCGAATCCGGGGGGCCTGACCCTCCATCAACCTCCCCCCCCTCACCCTTCCATCGACCCCCTCCTCCCCCTCACCCACAGGTCAAAGCTTGAACGAACAAATGAATATAGTCTTTAGCAGGAAATCAACCAGGGTATCGAATGAATGAATGAATGAAAGAATGAATGAGTCTGTGTGTGTGTGGATGAGTCAACACCAGTCACCTGATATGAATGGGGGAGTACATCTCTTAGTTATGAATGAGTGTCAGCTTCGAGGTTATGAATGAACGGATGAGTGCGCCTCCTCCTGTTGTGAATAAGTTAGTAGAGAGAGAGAGAGAGAGAGAGAGAGAGACACGCATCACTAAACAAGAATGGTGTCCGGCTTCTCAATTAGACAATATCAGTGAATGAACTTAGGGTGGCGAGTGAGGGGAGGGGAGGGGGGGGAAGGGAGTTCAAGGTAGGGCAGTTCCCCTCACCCCCTCTCCACACCAAGTACATTCCAGACCAGCTCCCCCCCCCTCCCCTCCCCTCCAAAGTAAATTCCCATCTCCCCCTCTTCACCCCCCCAGCCCCTCCTCCAAGGTAAGACGGTGCACCAACATCCGTGAGGCACAAAGGCGTATCTCAAGTCATACCTATTCTCTATCCTTCTCTAGCCTCCTCCTCCTTCCTCTTCTCTACCACCTCGACGCGTCCAGTGGAGAGGCAGACACAGACACACACACACACACATTCATTCATTCATTCATTCATTCATTCATTCATTCATTCATTCATACATACATACATACATACACACACGGGCATAAATACATTACACCAACAAACTCGTGTGTGTGTGTACATAAAAGACATATAAGGGATTGATTCATAATACTAACGGGACGGTAAATTACACACACACACTATTCTTCACTACATACACACACACACACACACGGCAACATATCAACATACCCACACAGCAACATACCCACACACCCTCACATACCAACGCCACTCACATCATTACGTCTATGAATAGAAAGCTCAGGTAGGAAGGAAGGAGGAGGGAGGGAGGAGGAGATAGGTATGCTTGGTATGAGGAGGGAGGAGGTGTTGGAGAGGAGGAGAATTCTGGAGGGGGCAAAAGCGAGAGGGAGGAGAAAGGAGGTGGTGGGGGCAGAGGGGAGGGGGGGAGAAAGAGGAGAAGAAGGGAAGAAAGATAGGGAGAGGAAGAACAGCACAACGACCTGTACAAGGCATCAATAACCTGAGATTACTGAGATAGTGTCAAGAAAAAGGCGACTTACTGAAAAGGTCTTGTGAATGGAAAGAGAGGGGGAGGACGAGGAGGATATGAAAGGAATGGAATAGGGAAGGAAGTACACACCATTAGAAAGGAGGGGAGAAAGAAAGGGAATGAATGAAAGTGGGAGAGGGTAAAAAGAGCCCAAAGGGAGAGAGGTGTTTGAGAAGCTGTGGTACTGTTGGGGAAGAAGAAAAAGAAGACCTCCCTACACCTCCCTAAACTGACCCTAAGATAACCAACAGATAAGGGTCATTTTAGGTCAATAATCCTTCCTTATGACTCTAAGATAAACATCTACAAGATTCTTTCAAAGATACTTACGACAAATTTCTCCCCAGGTGAAGTTAACGAGGAGGGAAGTTAACGGGAGGGAGGGGGGTGAGGTAATCCCCCCTTCTATTACCTTATTCCCCAGGCTATATACCTTATCTCTTGCCTTATCCTTGTGTATAGGTGAGGGTGTGTAGCGCCTTATCTCGTTAACTTATCTATATGGCTGAGGTGAGGGAGGATAGTGGTGATAGGGGAATGGTAGGGGAGGAAGGGGATGGTAGGGGAGGAAGGGGATGGTAGGGGAGGAAGGGGATGGTAGGGGAGAGGGGGTGGTGGTGGGATCATTAATAACAGTAATGCTAATAATAACAAAGACTTTATGACAATGATAAGTCACACCATCAACAATAACAACAATAATAGTCACACCATCAACAATAATAGTCACACCATCAACAATAATAGTCACACCATCAACAATAATAGTCACACCATCAACAATAATAGTTACACCATCAACAATAATAGTCACACCATCAACAATAACAAGAGCTAGTACTCACCCGTATCTTATGTCTATTAAGCGCATCGCGATCTCCCGAATTTTTGGCGTTGCCCAGGTAGAGGTGAGGCAGGATCTCCACGGGGAAGCCCAGATCATCCAGGGGTGTGTCTCTACCCAGGGAGGAATCACACGCTCCCTCCACCACCGCCTCCTCCTCCGCCTCCAGACAGGTGATTCTCAAGCTCTTCAGCCCCACGATGGGAGGCTCCGATGGTAAGGCCGACTCACACCATTCCGGAAACCTCGACCGGAACTCATCAAATCCTCCTGAAGGTGGTGAGAAAGATAAGGGTGGTTAGATTATGTGTGTAGGGGGGTGATGGGGTTTATATCATGGGGGGAGAGGTGCAGGTGGTTTGGTTTAAGAGAGAGAGAGAGGTAGGTGTGGGTGTTGCCGTGTAGTGGATGCCTGGGGATAGCTGAAGCGACCCCGCGTTACTCAAAAGGTCATCACCACCACCACCACCACCACTACCTTGGCACTGACACTGACACACACACAGGTACCAGCACTGGATGGCACGAGACCACTGTGAGGGGTAGGCCAGCATCTCTCTCTCTCTCTCTCCTTTTCCTCACTTTATTCTCTCCTCTCGAAAGTGTAAATACTTTAAAGTGCTAATGAAACTCATGTACACATCTTAGTCTGCACACACACACACAGGCCATATGTGGTTAAAATCCAACATGAAAGAAAGTTGAGCTCGTCCAACAAGCCTCGCATTCCTTCACATCTATGCCCCCCCCCCTCCTTGGTGGTGAGGGTGGTGGTGGTGCTGAGGGTGGTGGTGATGGATGGTGAGGGTGCTGGTGGCGAGTGTGGTGTTGATGGTGATGGTGAGTGTGGTGATGGTGGTGCTTAAGGCAAGTGTTAGGACAAGGTCGAAGGGGAAGGAATCCACAAAATGGCGGCAGTCATCGAACAGTCGTATTATACCTGAAGTGAAGTCTTCACACACAGGTGTACACTATATTATGTATACATGTGTGTGTGCAGCAGACAACTGTGTACGTATGCAAATGACACACACACACACACATATATCAAAACTGAACATGTAGGCGACGGAAAATCACTAAGGACTGTTTACATAGATGGTAGAGGTGCACAGAGAAGTGTACACGAGCGTGTGTGCGTTTGAGGTGGAGCCCTGTGTACGTATGTATATGTTCACATGGACGGATGATGTGTACGTACACGTGTGTGCGCGCCTTCAGTCAGTGGCTGAAACACCAGCGGTCATAATTACCTTACATTCCTGCACGTCAGCAAGGGGGGCAGAAGTGTGAAATGTGGTAAGATGGTTGGTGGGCAGCGTCACACACACACTGTATATGTTGTGTATGTATGTAGTTTATGTATGTTTTGTACGTGTGTAAGTGTGTGTGTACACTACGTTATAAACTGCTTCGTTCGTGCACGCATGAGTCTGTGTGTACAGAGGATGAGTCCTGGGGGGGGTGGGGGGGGGGGGATTAACCTGATACTGTTCCGCTAGGTACTCTCCCCGGGAGGACAGGTGCCCCCTCTTCCTTAATGCTAGGGTAAAAAAGGGAGGTGGGGGTTAGGGGTAGGGAAAAAGACTGGGGGGGATGGGCGGAGGGAAGGAGGGGCAGGTAGGGGTGTACAGTGGAGGGGAAGGAGGGAGAGCAAATAGGGTTGTATACTAGAGGTACACAGACTGAAATGTGTGAAGGAAGGGAGGAAGGAAGGAAGGAAGGAAGGAAGGGAGGGAGGGAGGAAGGGAGGGGAGAGGGAGGGAGGAAGGGAGGGGAGGGAGGGAGGGCGTGAAGAAACCAGTTTACATCTATAGGAAAGGGAGGTAGGAAGGGGAGGAGGGGGCCGACTTACCTTACCAACACTGCATTACACACTTACTATATTAACTCACCTGGGCAAACGGGTGCCCCCCCCCCTCCTCCCTTCCCTCTACCTTCTCACCTTCCACCACACAACACCTTGACGAGCTTAACACACACACGTCACTATCTCTGTTATGTTTGTGTTTCAGGTAATGGTAGTAGTAGTAGTAATGGTAGTAGTAGCAGTAGTAATGGTAGTGGTAGTAGTAATGGTAGTGGTAGTAGTAATGGTAGTGTAGTGGTAGTAGTAGTGGTAGTGGTAGTAGTAGTATAATAATCACAAAATAATAATAACAACAACAGTTCAGTAAATAAAGTCCTATCTGCCTCTTTAATTTAACATCCAGGCAACATTTAACACTAATAGCTAACACTGGAGTTAAAAAAGTTAACACCTCACAATACAATTAAACAAAATTAACATTATTATAACATGGTAAAAAAAATCAGTTCAGGAATACGAGTTATGTTAGATTATATTAACTGAGGTTATTTGTTCTTTTTTGCTTCGTTATTGAGGTGAAGTGAGACAGCGAAGCAAATCCATCCTAAGCTTATTCAAATACCTCCCCAGACAAGACCTCCCAAAACAGGCCTCCATCCCCTAAATTTTACCTCCATGCCATCTCGGCCTACCAAAACCATGGAAGCCTCTCTCCTATAAACCCCCTCCTTCACTCTGCCCTAGACCAAAAATACTAAGGCTTGGGCAGTATCACCTAACATCTGGCCATAGGAAAGAAAAGCCGGTTCATTCATTAAACGAAGTAAGGTAGTAAGACCATTCATTCACAAGGTGTCTCCCGTCATAGTAGTAGAGGCAACAGGTGATGATGATTAAGGGAATTTAAACACAGGAGATAATTATATATATAGATAATTAGTAAACAAAGCTACGATTAATAAAGGTATATATTATTAATTACTCTCTCAAGGACTTGCTATTAGAACCTCTAGTACTAGCAGCAGGCCTCTCTTCCCTCCCAAAGTACTAGAACCCACTCCCTCTCCCTCCCCATTTCCCCCCTGTAGGTACTAAATACGACCGTGGGAAGAGGGAGAAGGGGGGGAGAAGAGGTATGAGTGGGCAGGTAGATGAGAGGGAGGGTAGGGAGGAGAGAGAGAGAGAGAGAGAGAGAGAGAGAGAGAGAGAGAGAGAGAGACTACAGCTGATGATGGGAACACCTCTGGGGAGATAAATTCACCCTTACACCCCCTCACCATATGGTCGTCTATCCCGCAACACCTCCCTCCTCCCATTCAATAGGAGTGTGAGTTGCCAGTTAGGGAGTTTGTAATCCTACCCCATCACTGCCGCCAGCCAATCAGAAGGCGTATATACTAGCCAATAGACAGTCATTCATACAACACCTGTACTGTAAGTCTTATCTGTACCTGTAATCCCTTCACTCATAACACCGATAAACAAAGAGATTTAAGAGGATTTTTTTATTACGGGTTAATCCCCCACTGGCCCACACCGTTCAAGGCGAGAAGGACTTTTGAGCCCCCAATAATATAGTGTGTGAGCGTGTGTGGGGGCGTGTGTGTGTGCCCAAACATACATACACCCACACCAGAATACACACACACACACGCACACGCACACACACACTCCAGATAACAGGATAACTTGTCTGCTTAATTAACGAAGTCACGTCCACAGTGGCTAATTATAAACTAAGATAACAAGAGAAAAATAACTTACGACACACACACACATGCACGCACGCACGCACACACACGCACACCTGATTTGAACAGCTGGGCCCCACACCCACCTGTATAACCCAAAATAATTTAACACCTGACCTGCCCTGCCCTGCCCTACCCTATTCTACCCACCTGCTGCCCTACCCTATCTCACCTGTTCAACTTCTACCTACCTATACCCCACCTTCTCCCCCACCAACCCCCCTTCCCTCCCCAAAACCCCCCAATCCTTCTCAAAGCACAACTATCTCCAGGTGTGAGATAAGATATACCCAACTCATTAAGGTAAAACAATTAATTACATATAACACGACAAAGGTGTTATAATGACCACCCCCCTCCCCCCAAAACCTGTTCTTATACGCAGGTAACTTGAGGAATCTACTTATATTTTTTTATATGCTGACCTCTGTCGTATACAAAAAAATATCGTCTTTATGTCCCCGAGGGTGAAGTTAATAAAACAATAAAAAATAAGAATAATGATAAAAATAACAATGCCATCAACAACATACTACTACTAATAACAATAACAATAATAAACAAATAAACTACACCCCTTCAGTATACACCTGGAATAGATCACGTGTTGCAGGAGTCAGCTGATCAACCACACCTGCCCCACCCCCACTCCCAGGTGTCACCCCGCCCACCCACCTGTAGAGGGACTGACATACGCACGCACGCACGAAGTCCCTTCTCACATGACAACAGAGGGGATGGTGGAGAGAGAGTGAGAGAGAGGCACGTGCGGAAGCCAGGTCATTATCAAAGGTCAAAGGTCACCATTTTTATCAACGCCACAAAGGTCAATAGGTTTGTTATTGTTGTTCTTCAGTTCATGTTATATGTTCATCATCGTGAACATCTCTTTCTCTCTTCAGTCCATTCATTCAGCACAGATGTTGTTGGAAGTGGGGGGAGGGGTGTGAGGGAGGGACAATCAGTTCACAGGTGTGTAGGGAAGGATAATCAGGTGAGAGATGTGAGGATGAAGAGGAGGAGGTGGTTATACACTATCAGGTGAGAGAGAGAGAGAGAGAGAGAGAGAGAGAGAGAGAATCATCAGTATTCATCATGGTATCGTAACTATTCATCGAGGTAGAGTCAGACGGCGCCGGTCTGACAGACTACTCAGCTCGAGGGGGAGATAAATGAGGGGGCAAGAGATTATAAAAAATATATATAAACTAAGCGATGTTCTGACCTGCTAGAGAGAATGATTACCTGACTGTACCTCCAGGGATGTCTATGCCTCCTCCCTCCACCCCATCATTACTCCTGAGGCCAGATAGAGACAGGTGTCAGACAGGCCGCCCTTAGCCCCCCTACCCACTCCGCCACCACTTGGTGGAGGCTCAAAACAACCGTCCTTCAATAAGACTTGATTCCACTTACCTGTTATATACACATTGGCGCCACTACCCCCCACTTGCCCCTCCCCCCCTCTCGCCCTACTTAACCCCCTCCCTCATTCACTAACACCACTACTACGTCTCTACTCACCAACCCCCCTCCCCCCTCACACAGCTGAACATAACAGTGTAAATCTTGATCAGTGAGGGTGTGAGTATAAGGGGGGGGTGGGGTGGGGGGTTATGAGGTGACATGAGGGAGGATGAGAGCTTCAGAGAGGGAGGAAGGGTGAAGGAGGGAGGAGGCAGTACTGGGGGCTGAGGTACACTGAACGG